ACCTGCCGTTGAACCCCTTGGAGATTTCTGAACCTCCAGACCTGCCGTTGAACCTCTTGGAGATTTCTGAACCTCCAGACCTGCTGTTGAACCCCTTGGAGATTTCTGAACCTCCAGACCTGCCGTTGAACCCCTTGGAGATTTCTGAACCTCCAGACCTGCCGTTGAACCCCTTGGAGACCGTTCAGAATTCCTTTCTATCTCTTCTTGGAATTCTGTAGCTGAAATAGGGTCCGTTATTGACTGCCTTGGAGTTTTAAACTTCTCTGGATCATCAACTGATGATTTATAAGAATGAATACTAGCGTCTGATCCTCTATGAGATTTGTCTACTTCTTGAACATCACCATATTCTGAGACTTCTATTTTAATTTCTGGACTGACCAGTGAAGCTCTCGGTGAACTGTATACTTCTGTTTCGGGTTCAAGCATACTTGGTTCCTCAATACCCTGGTTATCATGATCCACTGGAGATTTGGTACTCAGCCTGCGGACTAAGAAGTCCAGTATCTCCGCCCCAATTGACTTACGATGCTGTAGATGTTGTGCCTGTGGTTCATGGGATATGTTCAACAGACTTTCGGCCTGTGTTTCATCCAGTCTGACTTCTTGAACATCACCATATCTGAGACTTCTATTTAATTTCTGGACTGACCAGTGAAGCTCTCGGTGAACTGTATACTTCTGTTTCGGGTTCAAGCATACTTGGTTCCTCAATACCCTGGTTATCATGATCCACTGGAGATTTGGTACTCAGCCTGCGGACTAAGAAGTCCAGTATCTCCGCCCCAATTGACTTACGATGCTGTAGATGTTGTGCCTGTGGTTCATGGGATATGTTCAACAGACTTTCGGCCTGTGTTTCATCCAAGCTAGGTGTGTGTGACAGTTGATCTGTGACATTTAGTTCTTCCACAACTGGGCTATCTGCTGTCTCCAAAGGACTTGAAAGTTCTTTTGATATCTTTCGGGACGTCAAAATGTTAATGATTTCCTCATCCACAGATGAGGATATTGATGCTCGATTATCAAATATATTTTCCAGTGACTTTTGAGGTGATATGGTAGCTCCTTCATTTTCTAGGTTAGGCGATATTGTATCATCTTCGTCAGACAAAGTTTTATTACTCAGTCTACGAACCAAAAAGTCCAACACTTCTGATTCAGTGATCTGAGTCTGCGATTCTTCTAATCCAGCTGTCGAACTTCTGGGTGAGGCTGAAATTTCCAGATTTGTGGGAGATCTTCTTGATAAGTTTTCTGATTCCAGACCTGCAGATAACCTTTCAACAGGGGACAAAGTTCTTTCCTCATTAACATCATGAGATGTAGATTGAGTGCTGAGTCTACGAACCAAGAAGTCCAAAACTTCTGCTCCGATAGACTTGCGAGGGTGAAGAAGTTCTGGTTGTTGTTCATCATTTTGCAAGTCCGAATCCTGAATTTCAACAAGAGGTGAAGCTAGTTTCTCTAACCCTGTAAATGATCCTCTATGAGCGATCTCTTTTTCTACTTCTGAAATAGACCTTCTTGGTAATGTATCTAGGCCTAATAAAGATTCTCTTGGTGAAGCATCTGCTTCTATACCTGGTGATGAACTTCTGGGTAACCTGTCTATTTCTGTTTCTATGTATGGCTCTCCTTTGATACTTGTAACAGACCCTCTTGGTGACCTCTTTGCATCTAGACCAGGAGATGTACTTCTTGGTGAGGAAATGACTTGGTCTGCTAATGAGCCCTGTGCAGTTGAGTCAATAGGTTTTGTATAATTGACATTTTCTTCCAATGAGACTTCCTGAGTGGGTTGATTACTGAGCCGACGTGCAAAGAAACTAATCAGGTCAGCCCCAAACGACCTTCGAGTTTGAGGTTCTGTCTTTGAGTCTTGTTGGTCTGCTGTTTCAGTGACTGTTAGTGATTCATCCTGGTTGGGCTCTTCAACTGACATTGGTTCTATTCCATCAGCTGAGCCTCTTGGTGACCTTTCTGCTTCCAGTCCAGCATAAGATCCTCTTGGTGACCTTTCTGCTTCCAGTCCAGCAGATGAGCCTCTTAGTGACCTTTCTGCTTCCAGTCCAGCAGATGAGCCTCTTGGTGACCTTTCTGCTTCCAGTCCAGCATAAGATCCTCTTGGTGACCTTTCTGCTTCAAGTCCAGCAGATGAGCCTCTTGGTGACCTTTCTGCTTCCAGTCCAGCATAAGATCCTCTTGGTGACCTTTCTGCTTCAAGTCCAGCAGATGAGCCTCTTGGTGACCTTTCTCTTTCAAGTCCAGCATAAGATCCTCTTGGTGACCTTTCTGCTTCCAGTCCAGCAAATGAGCCTCTTGGTGACCTTTCTGCCTCCAGTCCAGCAGATGAGCCTCTTGGTGACCTTTCTGCTTCAAGTCCAGCATAAGATCCTCTTGGTGACCTTTCTGCTTCCAGTCCAGCAGATGAGCCTCTTGGTGACCTTTCTCTTTCAAGTCCAGCATAAGAACCTCTTGGTGACCTTTGTGCATCAAGCCCAGCAGATGAGCCTTTTGGTGACCTTTCTGCTTCAAGTCCTGCATAAGACCCTCTTGGTGACCTTTCTGCTTCAAGTCCAGCATAAGATCCTCTTGGTGACCTTTCTGTTTCAAGTCCAGCAGATGAGCCTCTTGGTGACCTTTCTGTTTCAAGTCCAGCAGATGATCCTCTTGGTGACCTTTCTGCTTCCAGTCCAGCAGACGAGCCTCTTGGTGACCTTTCTGCTTCCAGTCCAGCATAAGATCCTCTTGGTGACCTTTCTGTTTCAAGTCCAGCATAAGATCCTCTTGGTGACCTTTCTGTTTCAAGCCCAGCAGATGAGCCTCTTGGTGACCTTTCTGCTTCCAGTCCAGCATAAGATCCTCTTGGTGACCTTTCTGTTTCTAGTCCAGCATAAGAACCTCTTGGTGACCTTTCTGCTTCCAGTCCAGCAGATGAGCCTCTTGGTGACCTTTCTGCTTCCAGTCCAGCAGATGAGCCTCTTGGTGACCTTTCTGCTTCCAGTCCAGCATAAGATCCTCTTGGTGACCTTTCTGTTTCAAGTCCAGCATAAGATCCTCTTGGTGACCTTTCTGCTTCCAGTCCGACAGAAGATCCTCTCGGTGACCTTTCTGTATCTGGTTCTGCAGAAGTGGCTCTGGAAGACCTTCTTGAGCCTCTTGGTGACCTTTCTGCTTCCAGTCCAGCAGATGAGCCTCTTGGTGACCTTTCTGCTTCCAGTCCAGCAGATGAGCCTCTTGGTGACCTTTCTGCTTCCAGTCCAGCAGATGAGCCTCTTGGTGACCTTTCTGCTTCCAGTCCAGCATAAGATCCTCTTGGTGACCTTTCTGCTTCCAGTCCAGCAGATGATCCTCTTGGTGACCTTTCTGCTTCCAGTCCAGCAGATGATCCTCTTGGTGACCTTTCTGCTTCCAGTCCAGCAGATGATCCTCTTGGTGACCTTTCTGCTTCCAGTCCAGCAGATGATCCTCTCGGTGACCTTTCTGTATCTGGTTCTGCAGAAGTGGCTCTGGAAGACCTTCTTGAGCCTCTTGGTGACCTTTCTGCTTCCAGTCCAGCAGATGAGCCTCTTGGTGACCTTTCTGCTTCCAGTCCAGCAGATGAGCCTCTTGGTGACCTTTCTGCTTCCAGTCCAGCAGATGAGCCTCTTGGTGACCTTTCTGCTTCCAGTCCAGCAGATGAGCCTCTTGGTGACCTTTCTGCTTCCAGTCCAGCAGATGAGCCTCTTGGTGACCTTTCTGCTTCCAGTCCAGCAGATGAGCCTCTTGGTGACCTTTCTGCTTCCAGTCCAGCAGATGATCCTCTTGGTGACCTTTCTGCTTCCAGTCCAGCAGATGATCCTCTTGGTGATTTTACTCTTTCTGGATCTGCCGCAGAGGCTGTAGATGATCTTCTTGAGTCTGCTTCTGCAAATGAGCCTCTTGGGGACCTTCCAGGTGATATCATGTTAACATCCAGTCCCGCAATAGAACCCTTTGGTGATTGAAGGACGCCTAGACTTACTGGAGGATCTCTCTCTGTTGAAATATCCGTCAGATCCTCCTCTGAACCCTCCGCTCTATTTTCATTGGGTTTGGACGCGGGTTGGCTACTAAGCCTACGAGTTAAGAAATTGAATATTTCTGCTCCAATCGATTGTCCAGCAGAGGAGGTTCTTGGTGATCTTTGTGCATCAAGTCCTGCAGATGAACCTCTTGGTGACCTTTCTGCTTCAAGTCCTACAGAGGATCCTCTCGGTGACCTTTCTATATCTGGTTCTGCAGAAGTGGCTCTGGAGGACCTTCTTGAGCTTTTTGGTGACCTTTCTGCTTCCAGTCCTGCAGATGAGCCTCTTGGTGACCTTTCTGCTTCCAGACCTGCATAAGATCCTCTTGGTGACCTTTCTGCTTCCAGACCTGCATAAGATCCTCTTGGTGACCTTTCTGCTTCCAGTCCAGCAGATGATCCTCTTGGTGACCTTTCTGTTTCAAGCCCAGCAGATGAGCCTCTTGGTGACCTTTCTGCTTCCAGACCTGCATAAGATCCTCTTGGTGACCTTTCTGTTTCAAGCCCAGCATATGAGCCTCTTGGTGACCTTTCTGCTTCAAGTCCTACAGAGGATCCTCTCGGTGACCTTTCTATATCTGGTTCTGCAGAAGTGGCTCTGGAGGACCTTCTTGAGCTTTTTGGTGACCTTTCTGCTTCCAGTCCTGCAGATGAGCCTCTTGGTGACCTTTCTGTTTCAAGTCCAGCAGATGAAGCTCTTGGTGGCCTTTCTGCTTCCAGTCCAGCATAAGAACCTCTTGGTGACCTTTCTGTTTCAAGTCCAGCAGATGAACTTCTTGGTGACCTTTCTGCTTCAAGTCCAGCAGATGATCCTCTTGGTGACCTTTCTGCTTCCAGTCCAGCATAAGAACCTCTTGGTGACCTTTCTGCTTCAAGTCCAGCATAAGATCCTCTTGGTGACCTTTCTGCTTCCAGTCCAGCATAAGATCCTCTTGGTGACCTTTCTGCTTCAAGTCCGACAGAGGATACTCTCGGTGACCTTTCTATATATGGTTCTGCAGAAGTGGCTCTGGAGGACCTTCTTGAACTTTTTGGTGACCTTTCTGCTTCCAGTCCAGCAGATGAGCCTCTTGGTGACCTTTCTGCATCCAGTCCAGCAGATGAGCCTCTTGGTGACCTTTCTGCTTCCAGACCTGCAGATGAGCCTCTTGGTGACCTTTCTGCTTCTAGTCCAGCATAAGATCCTCTTGGTGACCTTTCTGCTTCAAGTCCTGCAGATGAGCCTCTAGGTGACCTTTCTATATCTTCTACAGAAGTGGCTCTGGAAGACCTTCTTGAGCTTTTTGGTGACCTTTCTGCTTCCAGTCCTGCAGATGAGCCTCTTGGTGACCTTTCTGCTTCCAGTCCAGCAGATGAGCCTCTTGGTGACCTTTCTGCTTCCAGTCCAGCAGATGAGCCTCTTGGTGACCTTTCTGCTTCCAGTCCAGCAGATGAGCCTCTTGGTGACCTTTCTGCTTCCAGTCCTGCAGATGAGCCTCTTGGTGACCTTTCTGCTTCCAGTCCAGCAGATGAGCCTCTTGGTGACCTTTCTGTTTCCAGTCCAGCAGATGAGCCTCTTGGTGACCTTTCTGCTTCCAGTCCAGCATAAGATCCTCTTGGTGACCTTTCTGTTTCCAGTCCAGCAGATGAGCCTCTTGGTGACCTTTCAGCTTCCAGTCCAGCATAAGATCCTCTTGGTGACCTTTCTGTTTCCAGTCCAGCAGATGAGCCTCTTGGTGACCTTTCTGCTTCCAGTCCAGCATAAGATCCTCTTGGTGACCTTTCTGCTTCCAGTCCAGCATAAGATCCTCTTGGTGACCTTTCTGTTTCCAGTCCAGCAGATGAGCCTCTTGGTGACCTTTCTGCTTCCAGTCCAGCATAAGATCCTCTTGGTGACCTTTCTGTTTCCAGTCCAGCAGATGAGCCTCTTGGTGACCTTTCAGCTTCCAGTCCAGCATAAGATCCTCTTGGTGACCTTTCTGTTTCCAGTCCTGCAGAAGATCCTCTTGGTGACCTTTCAGCTTCCAGTCCAGCATAAGATCCTCTTGGTGACCTTTCTGCTTCCAGTCCTGCAGATGAGCCTCTTGGTGACCTTTCAGCTTCCAGTCCAGCATAAGATCCTCTTGGTGACCTTTCTGCTTCCAGTCCTGCAGATGAGCCTCTTGGTGACCTTTCTGCTTCAAGTCCTGCAGAAGATCCTCTTGGTGACCTTTCTGCTTCAAGTCCTGCAGATGAGCCTCTTGGGGATCTTACTCTTTCAGGTCCTGTAGAAGAGGCTCTAGACGACCTTCTTGAGTCTATCCCTGCAGATGAGCCTCTGGGTGACCTTTCTGCTTCCAGTCCAGCAGATGAGCCTCTGGGTGACCTTTCTGCTTCCAGGCCTGCAGAAGAGCTCCTGGGTGACCTTTCTGCATCCAAACCTGCAGAAGATCCTCTTGGTGACCTTTCTACTTCCAGATCTGCAGATGAGCCTCTGGGTGATCTTTCTGCATCCAAACCTGCAGAAGATCCTCTCGGTGAACTTTCTGTTTCAAGTCCAGCAGATGAGCCTCTTGGGGATCTTACTCTTTCTTGTCCTGTAGAAGAGGCTTTAGATGACCTTCTTGAATCCAGTCCTGCGGATGAGCCTCTTGGAGACCTTTCTGCTTCCAGTCCTGCAGAAGAGCCCCTGGGTGACCTTTCTGCATCCAAACCTGCAGATCCTCTTGGTGACCTTTCTACTTCCAGACCTGCAGATGAACCTCTTGGTGACCTTTCTGCTTCCAGTCCTGCAGAAGATCCCCTGGGTGACCTTTCTACTTCCAGACCTGCAGATGAACCTCTTGGTGACCTTTCTGCTTCAAGTCCTGCAGATGAGCCTCTTGGTGACCTTTCTGCTCCCAGCCCTGCAGAAGACCCTCTTGGGGATCTTACTCTTTCTGGTCCTGTAGAAGAGGCTTTAGATGACCTTCTTGAATCCAGTCCTGCGGATGAGCCTCTTGGACCTTTCATCTCAACATCTAGCCCAGCAACTGATCCCCTTGGTGATTCCAGAACGCCTAGACTTACTGAAGGTTCTTTGACTGATGGAATGTCAGTCAGATCTTCCATTGATCCTTCAACGGACTCAGTACTATAATCTCCAGCTACAAGTCCAGCAGATGAGCCTCTTGGTGACTTTTCTGATTCAAATCCTGCAGAAGATCCTCTTGGTGATCTTCCTTTTTCCGGTCCTGTAGAAGAGGCTCTAGACGACCTTCTTGAGTCTATCCCTGCAGATGAGCCTCTGGGTGACCTTTCTGCTTCCAGTCCAGCAGAAGAGCCTCTGGGTGACCTTTCTGCTTCCAGACCTGCAGAAGATCCTCTTGGGGATCTTACTCTTTCTGGTCCTGTAGAAGAGGCTTTAGATGACCTTCTTGAATCCAGTCCTGCGGATGAGCCTCTTGCAGACCTTACGGAAGGTATCATCTCAACATCTAGCCCAGCAACCGATCCCCTTGGTGATTCCAGGACGCCTAGACTTACTGAAGAATCTTTGACTAATGGAATGTCAGTCAGGTCTTCCATTGATCCTTCAACTGACTTAGAACTATCATCTCCAGCTATAATTTCGGGTGTAGATTGCCTACTGAGCCTACGAGCCAAGAAATTGAATATTTCTGCTCCAATTGACTGACGAGGTTGACTTTTTGCTTCTAGTCCAGCAGAGGCTCCTCGTGACTCTTCCATTTCAAGCTCGGTAGAAGATCCTCTTGGTGATCTTTCTACAGAGGGTCCTCTGGGTGAAGGTCCTCTCTCCACAGATTCTGAAGATGACCTTCTTGAATCCATGCCTGAAGTTGGTCTTTCAGATGGCATCATCTCAATGTCCAGTCCAGCAACAGATCCTCTTGGTGATTCCAGGACACCTAGATGCACTGATAACTCTTCCACCTGTGGAATGTGGTCCAGATCTCTCACTACCACTGACTCCATATCATAATCTTCACTTTCTGTTTCTAGTCCAACATAAGACTCTCTTGCAGACCTTCCAGATTCTAATCCTGCAGAGGATCCTCTAGGTGTTTTTCCTCTTTCAAGTCCTGGAGAAGAGGCTCTAGATGATCTTCTTGAGTCTCTTCCTGCAGATGAACCTCTAGGTGACCTTTCTGCTTCCAGTCCTACAGAAGAGCCTCTTGGTGACCTTTCTTCCAGTCCTGCAGAAGAGCCTCTAGGTGACCTTTCTGCTTCTAGTCCTGCAGAAGAACCTCTGGGAGACATTTCTGTTTCCAGTCCTGCAGATGAGCTTCTGGGTGACCTTTCTGCTTCCAGACCTGCAGAAGAACCCCTTGGTGACTTTTCTGCTTCTAGCCCTACAGATGAGCCTCTTGGTGATCTTCCTCTTTCTGCTCCTACAGAAGCTCTAGAAGACCTTCTTGAATCTATCCCTGCAGAGGAGTTTCTTGGTGACCTTTCATATAGTGTCATCTGAGTGTCCAGCCCTGCAATAGATCCCCTTGGTGATTCTAGGACGCCTAAGCTTACTGACAATTCTTCCATTTTGGGAATCTCATTCAGATCTCTTACTTCCACTGACTTTGTATCTATACTTTCTTCTTCCAATCCTGCAGAGGAGCCTCTGGGTGACCTTTCTGCTTCCAGTCCTGCAGAAGAGCTTCTTGGTGACCTTTCTGCATCCAAACCTGCAGAAGATCCTCTTGGTGATCTTCCTTTTTCCGGTCCTGTAGAAGAGGCTCTAGACGACCTTCTTGAGTCTATCCCCGCAGATGAGCCTCTGGGTGACCTTTCTGCTTCCAGTCCAGCAGATGAGCCTCTGGGTGACCTTTCTGCTTCCAGTCCTGCAGAAGAGCCCCTGGGTGACCTTTCTGCATCCAAACCTGCATAAGATCCTCTTGGTGACCTTTCTACTTCCAGACCTGCAGATGAACCTCTTGGTGACCTTTCTGTTTCAAGTCCTGCAGATGAGCCTCTTGGGGATCTTACTCTTTCTGGTCCTGTAGAAGAGGCTCTAGACGACCTTCTTGAGTCTATCCCTGCAGATGAGCCTCTGGGTGACCTTTCTGCTTCCAGTCCAGCAGATGAGCCTCTGGGTGACCTTTCTGCTTCCAGTCCAGCAGAAGAGCCTCTAGCTGACCTTTCTGCTTCAAGTCCTGCAGATGAGCCTCTGGGTGACCTTTCTGCTTCCAGTCCAGCAGAAGAGCCTCTAGGTGACCTTTCTGCTTCAAGTCCTGCAGAAGAGCCTCTTGGTGACCTTTCTGCTTCAAGTCCTGCAGATGAACCTCTTGGTGACCTTTCTGCTTCCAGTCCTGCAGAAGATCCCCTGGGTGACCTTTCTACTTCCAGACCTGCAGATGAGCCTCTTGGTGACCTTTCTGCTTCAAGTCCTGCAGATGAGCCTCTTGGGGATCTTACTCTTTCTGGTCCTGTAGAAGAGGCTTTAGATGACCTTCTTGAATCCAGTCCTGCGGATGAGCCTCTTGGAGACCTTACGGATGGTATCATCTCAACATCTAGCCCAGCAACTGATCCCCTTGGTGATTCCAGAACGCCTAGACTTACTGAAGGTTCTTTGACTGATGGAATGTCAGTCAGATCTTCCATTGATCCTTCAACGGACTCAGTACTATAATCTCCAGCTACAAGTCCAGCAGATGAGCCTCTTGGTGATTTTTCTGATTCAAATCCTGCAGAAGATCCTCTTGGTGATCTTCCTTTTTCCGGTCCTGTAGAAGAGGCTCTAGACGACCTTCTTGAGTCTATCCCTGCAGATGAGCCTCTGGGTGACCTTTCTGCTTCCAGTCCTGCAGAAGAGCCCCTGGGTGACCTTTCTGCATCCAAACCTGCAGAAGATCCTCTTGGTGACCTTTCTACTTCCAGACCTGCAGATGAACCTCTTGGTGACCTTTCTGTTTCAAGTCCTGCAGATGAGCCTCTTGGGGATCTTACTCTTTCTGGTCCTGTAGAGGAGGCTCTAGACGACCTTCTTGAGTCTATCCCTGCAGATGAGCCTCTGGGTGACCTTTCTGCTTCCAGTCCAGCAGAGGAGCCTCTAGGTGACCTTTCTACTTCAAGTCCTGCAGATGAGCCTCTGGGTGACCTTTCTGCTTCCAGTCCTGCAGAAGAGCCTCTGGGTGACCTTTCTGCTTCAAGTCCTGCAGATGAGCCTCTTGGTGACCTTTCTGCTTCAAGTCCTGCAGATGAGCCTCTTGGTGACCTTTCTGCTTCAAGTCCTGCAGAAGATCCTCTTGGTGATCTTACTCTTTCTGGTCCTGTAGAAGAGGCTTTAGATGACCTTCTTGAATCCAGTCCTGCGGATGAGCCTCTTGGAGACCTTATGGATGGTATCATCTCAAAATCTAGCCCAGCAACCGATCCTCTCGGTGATTCCAGGACGCCTAGACTTACTGAAGGTTCTTTGACTGATGGAATGTCAGTCAGATCTTCCATTGATCCTTCAACGGACTCAGTACTATAATCTCCAGCTGCAAGTCCAGCAGATGAGCCTCTTGGTGACTTTTCTGATTCAAATCCTGCAGAAGGCCCTCTTGGTGATCTTCCTTTTTCCTGTCCTGTAGAAGAGGCTCTAGACGACCTTCTTGAGTCTATCCCTGCAGATGAGCCTCTGGGTGACCTTTCTGCATCCAGTCCAGCAGATGAGCCTCTGGGTGATCTTTCTGCTTCCAGTCCTGCAGAAGAGCCCCTGGGTGACCTTTCTACTTCCAGACCTGCAGATGAACCTCTTGGTGACTTTTCTGCTTCCAATCCTACTGAGGACCCTCTTGGTGATTTTATTCTTTCTGGTCCTGCAGAGGCTCTAGATGACCTTCTTGAGTCTATCCCTGCAGACGAGCCTCTTGGTGACCTTTCTGCTTCCAGTCCAGCAGATGAGCCTCTGGGTGACATTTCTGCATCCAAACCTGCAGAAGATCCTCTTGGTGACCTTTCTGCTTCCAGACCTGCAGATGAGCCTCTTGGTGACCTTCCTGCTTCAAGTCCTGCAGATGAGCCTCTTGGTGACCTTTCTGCTCCCAGCCCTGCAGAAGACCCTCTTGGGGATCTTACTCTTTCTGGTCCTGTAGAAGAGGCTTTAGATGACCTTCTTGAATCCAGTCCTGCGGATGAGCCTCTTGGAGACCTTACAGATGGTATCATCTCAACATCTAGCCCAGCAACTGATCCCCTTGGTGATTCCAGAACGCCAAGACTTACTGAAGGTTCTTTGACTGATGGAATGTCATTCAGGTCTTCCACTGATCCTTCAATGGACTCAGTACTATAATCTCCAGCTACAAGTCCAGCAGATGAGCCTCTTGGTGACTTTTCTGATTCAAATCCTGCAGAAGATCCTCTTGGTGATTTTACTGTTTCTGGTCCTGCGGAAGAGGCTCTAGATGATCTTCTTGAATCTATTCCTGCAGATGAACCTCTTGGTGACCTACCTGATGGTATCATCTCAACATCTAGTCCTGCAACTGATCCCCTTGGTGATTCCAGTACTCCTAGACTTAATGAAGGCTCTTTAACTGATGGAATGTCAGTCAGAACTTTTGTTGATTCTTCGATATACTCATCTCTATTTTCAGATAGCTCAGGTGTTGGTTGGCTGCTAAGCCTACGAGCCAAGAAGTTTAATATCTCTACTCCAATTGATTGACGGGGCTGGCCTCCTGCTTTCTGTTCATCTTCAGTTTCCAGACCTCCAGCCTCTTCTATCTCAGCTTGGTTCTCTATCACTAATGTTTCTTGGTCTATCAGATCAGAAGAATTACGGGGAGAAAGTTTATACTGCAGACCTGCTGATGAGGCCCTTGGGGACAGGGCAGGTGAACCTTTTTGTGACCCTACTCCTACAATTGACCCCCTTGGTGATTTTAAGCTTTCCATTATTATAGTTTCAAGATCTGACTTTGTTATTGTTTCTGGAGAAGCTGTTGAACCCCTTGGAGATTTTAGTTGTTCATCAATTAATTTTTCCAGTGCTAAACTATTACTCCTAGAGGAAATGTCATCTTCTGGATCTGCGATATTGGCAACATTTTGTAATTCATCTTCCATTTGGTTTATACTGCCTCTGTGGGCAGGTATTGGCTGACTACTCAGTCTACGAACCATTGCTTCTAAACCAGCTTGGTCAATCAACTCGAGATCATTAGAATTAACACTAAATTTCTTCCTTTGAAGACCTTCAATACCTCCTGTTGAATTTGTGTCTTCATCATCTGAAGTAGGGTAGTTTAGTTCTGGTTCAAGCTTAACTACTGAACGGCGACGAAGATTTGGCATATCTTGTATGTCTAGAGAATCAGTGTTTGTTGACAAGTCCTGTGAATATTTCCTAGATTCTCTGGCTATATCCAAGCCAGAAGTTGAACTCCTTGGGGAAGGAGATGCCCTTGGCGATTTATTTGACACTATGCTTGCTACTGAGTGTCTTGGTGACAATGCAGTTTCAAGACCATCTGATGAATCTCTTCCAGCAGATGATCCTCGGGGTGAATGTTGAGTATTAAATTCCCCAGGTGAACTAACAGGTGATGTTGCAAGCATTTCTTTTGTATCTGGGGAGGTGGAAGAAACTCTTCTGTAAACTTCAATATCAATGTCTTGTGAATCTGACTCTACATCATTAGCATCTTTGATGTTCTTTTCATGCAGTTGTGCTTCATGGCTGAAAGACCTACGAGGAAGTGGCTGAGGTTTCCATTCTGTTTCCAATGCCTGGTTTCCCATGTCTAGCTCATCTCCAGGAAGAGAATGATAGGCCTCAATATCTCCTATTTTATTTTCACTAAGGCTTTTCTTTCTCTGATTTTCAAGTTCATCAATCAGCTCAGAGGCAAGAAGTTCTGGATTCACTGCGCTGCTCTTTCGTCGGGTTGCAGCTTCACCTACAATTTCTTGAACTTTGGAATTCTCTGCACCCAGATTAACTCCCCACTTTACTTTTGGCTCTGCCTCACTGTCTGAACTGTTGTACTGAATGGATTTGCGTTTTTCTTCATACTGCTCAGTTTGTGACTCTGAATTCCCCCTGTCCTCATTTGGTAGGCTTTGATGGTCTGGTATTGGTTGACTACTGAATCTCCTCAGCAGAAACTGCAAGACATCACTCCCAATCGATTTTCTTGGTTCTTCTTGTGATTTTGGTATATTCAATGTTGCTGCCCCTTCTGTTTCTGAGTCAGTGCTTGGGTCGTGAATCTCAACTGTCGGTAGCTCCTGGGGGTTAATTTCTATGTCTGGCGTTGCTCCTCTCGAATTTCTGGAGACTCTCTCTGATAGTGAGGTCTGTGAAAACCGGCGAATACTGGATTCTGCAGACTCTGTGGATTTTCTGTGTGCTTGGCTTTGCTCTTCATCATGACCATTTTCATGACTGCTCAAAAATTGGGCCTGGATTTCAGGTTTAAGGTCACTAACCTCTTTCTTGAAATCGAGGTAAGGTTCAAGGTCACTTATTGACTTGCGATATTTCAGATAAGGTGAAGCTGCACGCAGATATTGTTCATCTTCTTCCGTGGTTAGGTTCTCTGATTGATCCGGTGGAATATCACCCACTTCCTGTGTGTCACTGAGTGATTCTAGGTATCTCCTATCTGGTGTCCGAGGCCGTGTGTATTCTAAATCATCCTCATCAACTTCCTCTTTAAGATATTTTACATTTTCATCAGAATCACTGACTTGACCAGTTTGACCATGTCCTTGATCTTCATCAGGTTGATCATCGTCTTGTTCATGGTGCGCATCAACATCTACTTCACCTTCCTCTTCCTCTTCATAATATTCCTCTGGCTCTCCTGCTTCACCCTCTTCATGATCTTCACCTTCCTCTACTTCACCCTCTTCATAATATTCATCTATTTCTTCTGCCTCGCCCTCTTCTTCTTCGTAATACACCTCATCCTCCACTTCACCCTCTTCTTTGTAATATTCTTCATCTTCCTCCACTTCACCCTCTTCGTAATATTCCTCACCTTCCTCTACTTCACCCTCTTCTTCCTCATAATATTCTTCGCCTTCCTCTATTTCACCCTCTTCTTCGTAATACTCTTCACCTTCCTCCACTTCACCCTCTTCTTCGTAATACTCTTCACCTTCCTCCACTTCACCCTCTTCTTCGTAATATTCTTCCCCTTCTTCGATTTCACCCTCTTCTTCATAATATTCTTCAGTCTCTTCTGCTTCACCCTCTTCTTCATAGTATTCAACTTCTTCATCCTCTACATATTCCTCTTCGCCTTCTACTTCTTCCTCTTCAAAGTATTCTTCATCCTGGTCTCCTACATCTTCCTCTTCATAATATTCTTCCTCTTCACCAGTATATTCCGCTTCTTCATACTGTTCATTATCATAATATTCCCCTTCTACATCAATCTCTTCACTTCTTGCAGAACTGTTACTTACAGCAGAGCCTCGCCGCTGCACATCAGATACGTCACTTCTAGCAGAGCTTCGTCGTTTCATGTGTGTAGCATCAGTTCTGGCAGAGCTTCGGCGTTTCTTAACAGAGATGTCACTTTTAGCTGAGCTTCGTCGTTGCTTATTAGAAATGTCACTTTTAGCAGAATCTCGACGTTGTTTGGTAGAAACATCACTTCTGGCTGAGCCTCGACGTTGCTTGTTAGAGACGTCACTTGTAGCTGAGTCACGACGTTCCATTTCAGAGATATTACTCGCGGCAGAAACTCGCCTTTCGGAGGCTGAGATGTTACTCATGGCAGAACCTCGCCGTTTGGAGGCTGAGATGTTACTTGTGGCAGAACCTCGCCGTTCAGAGGCTGAAATATTACTCATGGCAGATCCTCGTCGTTCAGAAACAGAAATATTACTCATAGCTGAACCTCGCCGTTCAGAAGCAATGTTACTCTTGGAAGATCCTCGCCTTTCGGAGGTTGAGATGTTACTTATGGTAGAACCTCGCCGTTCAGAAGCAATGTTACTCTTGGAAGATCCTCGCCTTTCGGAAGCTGAAATATTACTCACAGCAGAACCTCGCCGTTCAGAAGCAATGTTACTCTTGGATGATCCTCGCCTTTCGGAAGCTGAAATATTACTCACAGCAGAACCTCGCCTTTCGGAGGCTGAAATATTACTCACAGCAGAACCTTGCCTTTCGGAGGCTGAAATATTACTCACAGCAGAACCTCGCCTTTCGGAGGCAGAAATATTACTCACAGCAGAACCTCGCCTTTCGGAGGCTGAAATATTACTCACAGCAGAACCTCGCCTTTCAGAGACTGAAATGTTACTCATGGCAGATCCTCGTCGTTCAGAAGCAGATATGTTACTCATAGCTGAACCTCGTCGTTCGGAAGTGATGTTACTCACAGCAGAACCTCGACGCACAGAGGTTGAAATATTACTCACTGCAGAATCTCGGTGTGCAGTGGTTGAGCTGTTACTGAAAGTAGAACCTCGACGATCAGATCCTCGTCTTTCCATGCCAGATACTTCAGGAATTTCATGTCTTGTAAGTCTTCTCTGCTCCAAGTGAAGTATTTCCCCTGTACTTGTATCATCCTCCTCTCCCATACTCTGAACTATACTTGACTTCCTTCTCTTAATATCTGAAGTCTCACTTGCTGCAGATCTACGTCTTTTGGAGTCTGTATTTTCACCAACAACTGGAAAATCTCCAGTCTGTGACAACCTCCGCTCTAATATCATCAGTTCCTCATCAATTGACAACTGCCTGGCCCTTTCCCTTGGTATGCTGTGATATTCCATGTCTGAAGACTCATCATGTATGGCCATCCCATGTGAAAGACTTGGGTCTTGTCTGTACTCATCTTCATTATCAGACTCACTACTTGGTGTCTGAATCTGGATGTCTGGCATATTCATGGGTAATGACTGCCCTCTTTGGAAATCAGAATCTTGTGTTTCGACAGTTATAGGTGAATCGTTGTCTGCTACAGGTTCAAACTTTGCTATTTTGGCTAACATGGCTGGAGTTAGTTCTGCAATTGATTTGCGAGGCTGTGTGAACAAAAAATCTCCACCAGCTGTGCTCTTGCGTCTCTGTGGTGACAATGATGAATTTCGACGACTTTGTGTAGTGGGTGAGACTGAGCCTCTCCGGCTTTGGTTCTCAGGTGACTGGTCTGAAACAGAACTTTTGCGACTATGTGTTTCTGGTGACATGTTATTCATATCAACTGACAGATTGGATTGAGAACTTTTGCGACTCTTTGTCTGAGGTGAATGATCTGAAACAGAACTTTTCCGGCTTTGACCATCATGTAATAAGTTAGAAACTGAACTTTTGCGACCCTGGTTCTCAGAACTGAGTTCTGGTCTGGGTGCTGTCATGAAAGCATTCAAGTCAGGTAACGAGAACACTGTTGACTGAACATCTGCCACTGAGTGGGAAGAGTTCTTGGTAGTGGAAACTTCTTCATCTTGCACTAGATCTACCTCACTTTCACCATTGATAGTATTGAGTGTTGCCCCAATGCTACTTGGTCTCCGGAAGTCAATTTCAGGGAACACATCACTGATAGACTTTCTTCTCTCAGTAATCTCACTTCCTCCCAGGACCTCTTCAGTTTGCACATTTAAATATTTAGGTCCACTCGACCTGTGGGTCAGATATTCATCCTCATCTGGAGGAATATTGGAAAGCTTCCGAACTCTAACAGGCTTATCAAAGTTCCACTCAATATCAAGATTTGACTGGTTACTAGGACTTGTGTTAATTATTTCATTATCTTTGTAATTGGTATCCAGATCACTTGTTGGTGTGTCAAAACCTTGATTCTCTGATGGTGCAGAGAATGATCTACGAACTTCAGTGTTAGACGTTTGAGAGCTCTGTTCCTCAACATCTGGCATGGAATTCTTTGATGGACTTTGTGCTATTGCATCTGAAGAAGATATTCCAGATCCATCAACTTTATCCTTAGAGAGTTCCTCTGTTTGCTGACTTGCAATTTTCAGATATCGTTGTGATCTAAGAGCTTGTAGTTCTGGCTCTACATCAACCACTGGTATTGAGCTGCGCCTGCGAAGAGAATTACTGCGAGACATTTGCTTTCCATTTCCAGCATCTGTGTTTACTGTTTGGTAGTTGACAAGTTTTAGCTCTGGGTCACCTCTAGATGTTCCAGTGGATTCTCGTCTAGCTAAGTCAGACACAGTATCACTGACAGGCTCACAATTATCTGTTTCATTAACCTCCCATTTCACATCTAGGTCTGACTCATTTTCACTACTTGAAGCTAAGTCATTGTTCTCAGAATTTATGCTTGATTTATGCATCTCCTCAGCATCTTGTCTCGATATTGAGCCTTCATCACCGTCCTGACTTTCTTTGCTGGCTGACAGTTGAGCTTGAATTTTAGGTTTCATTTCAGTAGCTTTTTCCTGGAACTGCATGTAAGGTTCTAATTCACTGATGGACTTACGATACTTCAGGTAGGGAGATATGGCCCTCAAATATTGTTCTTCTAATTCTGCATCGTCTACTCCCTCTGAAGCCTCCAACTCACTGAAGCTTCGGGCCATAACTTCAGGAGTAACAGTTTCTTCTGTTGTTTCCCTAAAGGTTTCATAGTTATCAATGTCTACTTCTGGGAGCAAGAGGAGAGTCCCCAACTGGGCCTTCAGAGCTGCCTGAATAGTTGGATCTTCAGAATTTACACTTTCACGACGACTGTTACCATCTGCATCATGAGTACTACCATGGGATGATTTCCTCCTCTTGAGTTCTTGTATTTCACCTTTGCTGAGTCTTTCTCCTTCTAATTCTTGTAATTCAGCTCGTGTTGATCTTCTACGTTTTGAGGTCATGATTTCTTCTTTGCTCATTCTCCTCTCCTTGTCCTGTAATTCCCCTTTGGTTGATGATCTTCTTTGGTTTATAGCTTGGATTTCGCCTCTGCTTAACTTTCTTTCTGCGCTTATGTCCTTACTCTTCCTCCTTTGCAAATTGTCTAGATTGTCTTCTTTTGTTGACTTTCTGCGCTTGATATCCACCAGATCACCTCCAGTTGACCTCCTGCGTTCTGTGACTAATATTTCTTCCTCAGAAGGTCTACTTCTTTTTCCTCCTGATGCTGGATCCACTTCTAAATACTCCGGCATGTCAGCAGATTCGTCTCGGAGGGATTTCCTTCGTTCTATATTTAGAATCTTGTCCTTGATTGACTTTCGCCTCTCAAGGCCATCTCCTTGTGTTGACAAACGTCGGGAAGAGTCTTTGGTGCTTGGGCTGAAGACATCATCAGAGCTCATCTCAATATCCTGATCTTGACCATAGTCAACACTGACTCTCCTGACCTCTACCTCAGTCAAGTGACTGGGGACAGCCATATCTCTCTGGAAGTCCGTTATTTCTTCAAACACAGAAATGCGAGCTTTCATCTCAGGTGTTAGTTCAGCAATTGACTTTCTTCGACCATATCTCTCAGGTGAACTGTCACTGAAGGACCTTCGACTCTTGGTATTGAGAACTTCTGTGAGATATCTTCCCTGGACATCTGCCGAAGTCTCTTCATTGGACTTGCGCCTTGACCTGCCTTCTGCATCAATGCTGAAGAATTCTTCATTCTGAGAATCATCAAAAACATTGTCTGAGTATTGTGCTTGAGTCTCATATTCTGGTACTCTTTGGTAGTCATCAGTATCTACTGCTTCGATATGAATGTCTGGGATTGACTGCCGGAACTGTGGTCGAAGTGGTGAAGAACTGCTTGACCTTCTCCGTGTATTACTAGATCTTCGGGACTGGCTACCGGTTGCATCTTCTTCGTACTCCATGAGCTCATTGTCAGGTGTGTCAGTGACCTTTATTTCCGGCACTGACATGGTAAATGACTTCCACCTGTGACTGCCAGAATGCAAGCTTGATCTGCACCTTTTTGATATCCCCTGATTGGAGGTATCTTACAAGTACTTATATTCGTGATCTTGAGTACCAGTTTCCTGTTGTGGTGCATGCAAATGATGATAAGGAAATAACGATGAGTTCAAACAAGATGCCAGGTCGTCATTAGCATCCTCAGGTGTTTTATACTGTACTGCCAGGTTAACTTTGGGGGTCAGCTCTTTATCATCCAAATTTTTGTGATTGTCTCCAGCAGATTTAATCTCTACAGCCTTGCCTGTGGCCTCAGTCTCAAATATCACAGAGTGTGTTGCCCATTCAGACACTTGTGAAGGATCTGCAGGAACCCCAAGCGGTAAACTTGAGTTGGCAAGTGAATACCTCCTGAATGTGATGGAGACTTTGCCTTAGTTGCCCCGAGCATCGGCCACCAAACGGCTCAGAAAGCTTAGGCTGTACTTCAGGAAAGCTGATGCATTGTCACCCCCACCTTGCTGGGTTGAAACGAGTGCCCTCCTCCTCTAATTCTTTATCAAATCCAGGGAATATATGTTCGGTAAACTGTGAAGGTTCCTCTGTTAATAATGTTTACAGTAGATTCGTTATTCTATCCTGAGATATCGTTGCCTGATAGACAATTTGGCAGGCTCGAGGATCTTCGTAACCTACTCAGGCAGAAATAGCTCCGCACAAATCTCTCCCTTAGCTCATGATATCTCAGTCCATCATGCTTGGCAGGTGGACGATGGAGTGTGATGTGTCGTCAGATATCTCTCATCTCAGTTTCAGGTCACAGGTGAGCATCCCAAACACAATCTCTTC